CAAGTAACTTAAAATCTTTTCTAAATGTCCATGTTTATTTCTCTAATGTTCATGGTCTTACAGAATCAGACTCAAGCTCCCCAATCCTCACCAAGGAAGACCAAGAGAACATTCAAACAGCAGCTCTAGATACATGGATCATGCCATTCTTATCAACAGAGTTTGGCAATTAGAAGGAAAAGCAAACTGATTTGGAATCTTAAACCAGTCTCTCATCTCAAGCAATGGAACGATCCCAACCCAACAGGGCATTGCAAAGAAAAGAGCTGAAGAGATTATAGTAATTATTCATATATACAAAAATGTAAATATATGATGCTAGATTGCGGCATGTAAGATGCATGGGCAAGCATGATGACAGATTAAAATAGATAAGTTTCTAATTTTAAAACTTCAATTGCAGATTTGTGTTAAGAACGAATCTTATTTTTGTAGTCTATTAGAAGGAAAACCGATCTTAATAGTAGCCCTAGTTTGTTGAGGATGTTATCTATTAGGACACCATATTTTTTATCTGTTAGGATTCTATCTAAGACCCAGTCTATTGGGATGCTATCATCCATATTTATTAGGACTATGAGGTATTTATTTCAGAATGTTGTGTGTGTGTGGTAGAACACAGGTACTCACCACGATTTGTAGTGTATAGTACAAATTACATACAAGTGTGTGTTGGTAGAACCAGTGACACAAAGATACTTCGGCGCATGGCTACCATATCCACATGCTATGCATTAAAAACATACGCAAAGTTACTAAAATTGAATGGTTGAGGCACATATCCATAGGCACATGTCCATAGTTACTAAAAATAAAAGGTGTAGGCACATGTCCAGGTACCATAGATAGAACACAGATCAGTTATAGAAGAATATGTAATCCAACCCCGAGAAAAAACCTAGGATCGGCACCCTATCCACTTTTGCACCCTAATGATAAGGTAGGAAGATGCTGACAAGCTAACAATTATTCCCCATGCACCCATAGATCTAGAATAACTCACAACTCACTAACCACATTGAGCATATGCAAGGTCTGCCTATTTTATCAAATAAAATAGGATTAGAAAGCATCCACTAAATAAAGGAGGCGACCCACGAGTTTCCAAAACATGATGAGAAATATAGAAATGTACCCCTTATGAAAAAGAGAATGGATGATTCTTCTGAATTGGAATCCTGGAATATGTAGAAGCCTAGTGAACACCATTCCTTGTTGCAATCTAGCAACTTTTATCCCATGCAGCAATTGAGTACTGCCCACTTGATTTCAATATGTCCTTTCAATATACAAGTAAACACGTTTAACCCATGGTGTGAGGACATCTAGAGGGCAATCCCTTGCTTGACATCCTTATGACAAGGGAATACCTACAACAGAGATCATAAATCCAGCTAATTCCACTACTTCAATTCGGCAAAGTCAAACCTGTGAAAGGAAAGTATATATTCCCTATCAGGTTAATATAGAAGATGTATATGGTAATCTATATATTGGGAAAGTGTATATTGTAATCGGTATATATGGGAAGGGTACGTACAATATCTTATATTTTATGGTAAGTTTGGGTAGAGTATAGGTGTTTGTAATTTATTTCTATTTTTGTCATATGTATTTGTCTTTTTAAGACAAGCTTGCATATTCATAATCTTCAATGGACACTGAGTCTCTTTAGAGAAACCTACGACTCTTCACATGATATCAGAGCAAAGTTCACACAGTGTTTCAAAAAGCGCTAGGCAGCTCTTAAGTGGTCGGGGGGTCCAAGCCCCGCCCTGGGCCTAGGCAGGCGCCCAGCACGTAAGCGGCCCAATAGAAACTTTTTTTTTGGGAGGCTTTTTCTCTCTAAAATAGCCTCTAATGGATTGTAGGTTTCAAATGAACCTAAAACCTATAATTTTACCTCTTTATATTAAAAAAAGATCCAAAAATACCCTCGAGGAGCCACAATTCCGCCCTTGGGTGGGCCGCAGGCCCTAGGCGGCCGCCTAGGCGGGTTCAGGCGGGTGCCCAGAGAAATCTGCCTTGGCGACCGCCTAAGCGCTGGGCGGTCCGCTCTCTGCAATAATGGGTTCACATTCGTAGTGTCTAGTCCTCGTCCCTAAAGCATTGTCGTTGATTTTCAAGACAAGTCTGTTGCTCACCCAATCAGTGCAACTTCTGTTGAGTCGTGTTTCGACTATTTGATTTGTCTCTCTGCCAAGTCGTGTTTCGACTCTCTAATTTATCTCTTTGTCGAGTCGTGTTTCAACTCCTTGATCTGTCTCTCTGTCAAGTCGTGTTTTGACTCTCTGTTGAGTTGTGTTTCGACTCTCTAATCTGTTTGATCTCCTCCACCTCGACTCTCTGCTTTGTTTGATCATAGAGCAATCTGAGCATGACAACCACTGTTTCTACTAGTCACGCTATGCAACTGAAGATCCTGCTCGTTTCGCAATTAGTGTTCAAACTCCAGCTGCTCTCACTCATAACATCTTGAGTTTGGGGGGGAGTATGAAAGAAAAGTATATATTACCTATCAGGTTAATATAGAACGTGTATATGGTAATCTACATATTTGGGAAGGTGTATATTGTAATCGATATATATGGGAAGGGTAGATGCAATATCTTGTATTTTTCAAGTCTGACTAGAGTATAGGTGTTTGTCATTTATTTCTATTTTTGTCATCTATATTTGTCTATTTAAGACAAGCTTGTATATTCATAATCTTCAATGGACATTGAGTCTCTTCAGAGAAACCTGAGACTCTTCACAAAACCAAGCATATATTGCATGTTTGAGCAATCACAGATGAAACGTATTGCTGGTTCCTTCTTAAAACTGAATCATAATGACTAAATGGAATACCATTTCTTGAAACTCCCCATGGAGAAAGAAACGTGATTCATGACTTCGGGCCAAAAAATTGCATACTTCCGAGACAATTATAGAGAATAAAAGACGCAAGACATTAATATCAGTATCTATGTTACAAGACTCACCCAAGTCCACTCAAGCTCAGGGCGAGGGCGAGGCTGAGTTACCCTGAGTTGTAATTTCCAAATAACCCAAAAAATTGTAAAATATATGGGTATGTTGTTTAAATTTTTGTATATGATTTGGGATTTTTTGCCATAAATTGGTATGTGTTCTTTTTCCACAATCCCTATTTTTATATTTTCTTCTTTTTGGATTGTTTTGAAATGTCCAGCTATAAATCAACTTTTTAATCCATTTTTCTTATTTTTTTGAGCATATTTGGACGTTTCAAGGTTGCTTTTGATTTTATACTACTTTGAAAATAGACTGTCTATATAACTCGTTACAAGATGTACTCTTTTTAGGACTTGAAATTCTTTTTTTTCCTTCATATTCATACATTGAAGTCTAGATGATTAGTTGGTTTTTCAACATCAGAAACATTCTTGTCTAGAGGATTTTTTAAGGTACATCTTACTTCAATAATATAAGGTTGAAACCTTATATGAACTTTTTCTCTTTATGTTAAAGAATACCTTTATTTTTTTCCATATTTTTTACTCTCTTTTTTTCGTTTTTCTAGGGTTTTTTGGCCTTGTACAAGTCTAGGCTGAGTGCACTCGGTCTCAGCTGAGTAACTCACCTCGGCAAAGGGCCGAGGCAATCTTATAAACACTGATTGGTATAACAAATGGAGCAAATGTTTTGACAGGGATTACAAGATATTCTCTTGTATAGACTCTAGTTCCTGTTATACTTTTAGTCTCTAAAACCTTACAAATCTAATTGACCCCAACAAATGTGAGCTTGGATAGAAGACGGTTTTTTTACTAAAGCATTACATGTTGGAGAAAAGGGAGGCCATGAAATTGATCAACAGTAGGAGTGTAACCACTAATTAGAAATAATCTTCCTTAAAGATGGAAAGGGAGAGAAATTCAAGGAGTAATCCATATTCCTATGAAACGATAGGAAACTTATGTTGATATGAACCATTAGTGCTAGTAATATTTTTAGGTGGCAAGATATCAGCTGAAACTACATAAATTTAAAGCTAAATCTGCCCGTTTGATTATTAAAGAAAAAAGCCACAATCAACCGAGATTACAGAAAGGAATCAATTGGAGAAAGAGAGAGATTCACAGCATCGAAAATCAAGTAACACAAACACAGGGTTGCAAAGGCAAGTTTTAAAGGAGAGAGAAGGAATTGTGTAATCAGCAATCAATGGCAAAACGCAACCTTTAGAGAGAGACAGTAGTGAGAAAGCGTACCTGCTGCATTGCTGGCAGAACCGCTTGGCAACCCGTCCTATCAGGACCACAGAGCCCTTAGCGTGCTCCTCACAGACCCTATAACGCCTGTGATACCTCTTCGCCATGTCCAAATCAACCCCACACTTGTCAGCCCTACAAAACAGCGCCTCAGCATCCACCCCTTTTCTGTATATTTTTCTTCTAACCCCACTGTAACCCCTTTTTTCTCTCTCCCCCTCTTCCATCTCCTCGCTTTCGCTCTCTTCGCCCTCTCTCCCTTCACCCTCTCTCTCTCTCCTCACTTTCTCTCCTCTCCTTCATCTTCCTCTCTCTTCTCTTCTTTATCTGCTTGCTCCAGTGCTTTCTTTAACAAGGCTTCAGCCCTTAGGCCCTGAGCTTTGGAGGAGAGAGAAAGAAGGGGGAGAAGAGATCAGAAATCAGGGCTAGGATTTGACGTGGGAGGCCAGTCATTGAAGACGTAGGGGCAGAAACATCACTATCTCAGTCATACGAATTCAAATTAGGGTTTTTCTCATAGCCACGTAGAGAGAGGGAGAGGAACATTCTTGTTGTGCCTTCAAAAACAAAAGTTTCAGTCCCTTTGTCTAGACGTCACTCGCCATCGCCATTGTTGCTTTCTCTCCCTCTCTTGAGTTACTCTCTCTACAATTTGCTCTCTCACTAGACTCATCTGCTAATCAGTGATTAGTCAGTGATTAGTAACTGGGATCCTTTGTTTCTTGTACAATTAGCACCTGGTAACTCATATGATAGTACAAGTGTTATTTTGTGTGTCCCTACCATAGTGAGCAAGTCGAGGACAATCAATACACACAGGATCACCGTAAAATCGAAAATAAATTATTTTTATTTTAAAAAGTTCGATGAAAAATCGGATAAAAAATAGAGATTACCAAAAATACTTGGTATAAAAACGTCGCTAATATATTAGGCTCAAAAAATTAGATAATTTTATAATACTAAAAATTTTAAAATTTTTAAATTCTAAAAAACTGAAATTTATGTCAAAGCCATCAATAACTAATTCATCCATAAAAACTTTAAACTAATACAATTAAGTCCATTAAGTTAGATGTCTTATAATTCTCATCCAATCATCCAATATTAAATATATAATTGACTAATATATACAAAAAAAAATGTATCATATAAAATCTACTCATTAAATACTTTAAGAAACATCACACCTACTTATTACATACCAAAAACAAATATATTATATAAATTTATTCAGTAAATACTTTAAATATGGTATGGTAACAAATATACATTATAATTTATTCATTAAATACTTAAACATCACACCTACATGATTTTTGTTTTCTCGTTACAGTGATTTAGCTATGGGATGGTGACCATGGTCACTCCATAACTAGGGTTAAAGTTTTATAAATTTATTTAATTGAAAAGAGGCTAGTAGAAATTTGGGTTTCACATATCAGTGTTTACGGTTTTGAGAGAGGAAGAAGGAAGAGAGAAAATAGGGATGAGCTCATAGCCATTAAGGTTTATAGAGAGAAAAAGGATGAAGGAAGAAATCATAGGCTTTACAAATTCTACGGGAAGAGGCACTACCTGAGAGAGAAAAAGAAAATGGGATGCTGATTTGGGATAGTTTGTAACGGGTTTTTTTTTCGGATGTCGTTTGAGAGAAAGCCCTAATTGTCCTAATTGATTTTTAGAAAGAAAAAAAGAATAGGGTTTTCAAGTTCTTGGCAAACAACAAGCAGAGATGAAGTATTATATTTGGGGAACTAATTCTATAGGTAAAATTGCTTGCTCATATAAGTTCACAGTTTATTTATCTTTGTTATCACATAATAAAAAACAAAATGTTGATTGCTTGGTTTGGTAGTCAAATTCTCTGCTTCTCATTCATCAGTAAAAGACTATGTTTTGAGCTCTAATTTGTGCCATAAAGAGTCTTTTCATAAAAACAATTATCACATAAATCTGCATGTATATTATTTTATTTACACAATGATTTATTTTACAAAATGATTTGCTATAAAAAGTAGTTCATTTACATAATGATTTTCCATAATAGCAATTGAAATCTGCATCTATTTGTTTAAGTTTTTTAAAACAAAGGGAAAAAAAAATTCAATTTGCAACAGTGGCTTTGAAGAATGAAGATAAAAATTTCTATTTTTGGTTTTTTTAAAAATAATATTTTTTTTTTTCAAAAGCATGAAAGGAGCAATGGCTGCAATACACAAATAGGCAAAAAAAACTTTCTTTCAAAAAAAAAATTATAGGTACAAAAAGATATGATTTTTTTGCCAGATTTAAATCATATTGTGAAAAATAGCGTTTTAAATATTTTTATGAAATCTACGTGATTTTTTGTTGACCTTTTCAGTGATTTTTAAAAAAAAATTACCGATTAAACGGCGATTTGCTAACTATGGTCCCTACATTTATAAGCAAAATTTTGTATAAAGTCGAGGTTCTAAATGATCAAATTAAGGTGCATCTAAAAAAAATTAACTAGAAGAGGCAATTTTGCCACAAATTCATTATCTCGACCTCGAGATTTATTGATGTGAAAAAAATGGATTTGATATATGGGAAATAATGATATTGTAATGCATTATTTGGGTTGTAAATTTTCAATATTGTTAAGTGTTTATAGGGTTGTTCGATCTATACTATTTTTGAAGTTTTTATAATTAGCGATATAAATAAATTTTCAGGCCATCACAAAGTCTTTTAATACGGGTCCGAGGCTCTAAGAAATTATAGTAAGGAGCACCTTTATATAATACCAAAAGGTCAGTCTGATGTTTCAAACATTGGACTGCTCTCAGTTAACACTAATTCCTCTACTGAACCTAGTTCGATTTTCAGTAAGTACCGCTATCGATGCAACTACTAAGGGTCATCCAATATTTTAAACACCAGATTGCTCTCTGTTAACATTGTTTCTTGTAGAGGAGTCAACCCCATTTTTGGCAAATTAGACTGCCTTTCGTAAAGCCACCACATTTAACTTTCATTGGTTTGATGTTTTAAATATTGAACTGCTCTTTGTTAGCCTCTTCTTGTAGAGAAGTTGGCCAGACCGTCTTCTGTAAAGCCACGAAGCATAACCTTGTGTGGAGCAGCTGGTCTGATGTTATGGCCTTCTGTAAAGCCACAACAAGTGAATGTGATGAGTCTTATATTTTAAACATCAGTTCGATACTTTAAATATCAGACCACTTTTTGTACAACCATGACATGTAATTGTCTATCATTGTGCATAACTGATAACAATTCGATGCTTGAAACATCAAACCACCTTCTTATTTATCAAGGCTCAATATTCTAATTCCTTAGCGGGTCAGATTCAAAGCAAAAGCTAGATTTGGTCGAAAACTACTAAAAACCAAATGTTTGACCAAACTTGAATGGTCAGACCGGCCAATTTTAAGTAGTTCAATTAATTAAATGAAGTTGGATAATTTTTTTAAGGGTGTGGTTTGTATAGAGTCGCTCTAAACAATCAAAGTAAAGCACACCTTTAAATAGTGTCGAGAGGTTTCACAATTGAAAATCTTTGTGATAGCCTTATAATATATTTTCATCTCTAATTATAAAATTTCAAGTTTAAAAAATAATGCAAATCGAACAGATCTATGAAAACCTTGATAATTGATGGTCTAAAAAATGCATCACAAGATGTACTATTTCCAAAACTTGAAATCCATTGTTTTCTCATGTCCATGCATTGTGCTGTCAACGTGATAAATTTGAGGACATTTGGGCATCAAACACAACCTCTTCTAGTGAAATTTTTGAGGTGCACTCTAATTTGATTGTTTAGAGCTTCACACTTATATAATTTTTTTAAAAAACATTTTATATTTTTAAACAAGTCTATCTTCTTTTTTTCTTTTTTTTAATCTAAAATCAGGTCCAAACGATTCAACTAGTAGCCAACCTGGCTTTTACTGGACCAAACCCGTCATCGTCTCAATTATTGGTAACATTGCTAGAAACCCATAATTGGCAGTCCTATGCATACTTGAAAATGAACAATCCAAATAATATGTTGTATGATACAATACTTCTATGGCTCAATAATCTTTTTTTTTTTTAGATCCATGATTGTTGAGGATTGGATCATCAATTACAAGGTTTTTTCTAATGCCAGATGAACTTTCCCGTCAAGATTTAAGCTGTAGTTTTGGTATGCGTTTCATCTTTAGTTTTCTTTTCTATCATTTTAAAATTTTCTAATGAATTATTTCTATGATATTTGGATTAACTTTTTAGTATATGTTTCTTCCACTTTTAGGTTGGTATTGATGCCTATAATGAGGTAAGCTTTTAGGTCTATAAATTTTTTTTATATATATTGTTGTAAATTATCCAATATTCATTTGGTTCCATTGTTGATAGCTTTACTACTTTTCAATAAATGGGGCTATTTGTTTCTATGTTTTGGTATTTGTTAAGGGATTGTATACAATGAGATCATTTACTATTGTTACAAGGAAGACACAATTACTTACAACTATCCAATGTGAAATTTGATAATTAGGAGGGGTCACAAAGTTCGAAAAAATTTCTTTCGAAGTTTGAGCTTGATCAATGGAATAAATGCAACCATCTAATTTCACATCCAATGATTAAAAATAATTGTGATTACTTTATACCAAAACTAAATGATCTCATTATATACTTTTCCTTTTGTTAATAGCATTTTGCCTTTTCATTTATGATGTGGATCAAATGGGGGACTAACATGCTTTATAGGGCTACTATCTTCTATGATGGTCCTAGAAAGAGTTTCAATAGATTTTTCCCAAATGTTTTCTGAATATTGTATCCATTTTTATTTTGATTTATTCACATCTTTTATTTTTATTGCGAGTTGTAAAAAATCCTTTGATTTTTTTATGAGATATTTAATTGTTTTATTTTAGGGATAATTATGATGGATGAATACGTACTTTTTTGCTTGTGACGTTTTTGGATATTTTTGTTTTGAAAAAAATTATTATATTGGTATTTGATATATGGAATCTTTAGGCAAGTGATTATAATATATGCACTTTTCAAAACTTTATTGCATTTCATAATTTTTCTATAGTATATACCTATCCCTAAGTAGCCACATCTTTTACATGTCTCCACTCTTGACTTGGAATCACATATCACTTGATTACACCATGATGGACTTTGGATTAATATGCTTTAGTTGTGAATATATTGTAATAAGCCTATTTTCTTTTTGCTATAAAAGCATTTGAAGCATCTCTCTACATAACTTCCAATAAATAATGAACTTGTGAGACCAAACAAATAATAACTTCCAATAAATAATGAACTTGTGAGACCAAACAAATAATAACTTCCAATAAATAATGAACTTGTGAGACCAAACAAATAATAACTTCCAATAAATAATGAACTTGTGAGACCAAACAAATAATGAACTTGTGAGACCAAAATAAAGAATAAAGAAAGAAAACAATGAACTTGTGAGACCAAAATAAAGAATAAAGAAAGAAAACAATGAACTTGTGAGACCAAAATAAAAAAAAAAGAAAGTCTCAGAGAATTTTGCAGAGTTACCTCCCTCTATGGAACTTTGGATTTAAGGTTCGAACTTCGAATTTGAATTGCTGACGCGAAGTTTTTTCCTGATCCGTCCATCAATGGAGTGTACGATGATGATACACTCTTACGTCCATAGATTTGTATATAGTCGTAAGGAGCACCAACTACTTTGCAGGTTCGTTTTTATTGACTGCATCTAAACAAAATCATAGAGGTTGCTCTCTAACACACCATGGATCATCAAAGCCGAGGAGGGTCATGGAACTTGGTGCCAAGCGCCTCTCAAACCGATGAACAACAACGGTTTCATTCCTTGCCTTCTCAGTTCCACCTTTTACCTGTAATTCTTTTACTGGAAGTTAGAGATTTTTGGCATGGGAAAATTAGGGTTTTTCTCTCCTAGCTTTGTTTATGTGAATGGAAATTAGTTGCAGGATTCTACGTCCTCCTTTTATTTCCTCTTTGTTGTAATTAAAGTTACTTTTTTCATGTCTTTGTGATCTTTTTTGAAAGTTCATAAATGACCCTCTATTGGCAATAGGGTTTTGATGTGCGTATCTTCTTTGTTTCAGATTATTGAAAACTTAGCTGATGCAATAGAAGGTGGAACACGTGATCAACACTCTGATGCTCTGGTTTGTAATAAGTTTCAGCTTTTTGTTGTCTTTTATTCTTTGTTATTCGATTTTTCAAGTTATTTGCAGTCTTTATAGCACAATGTATGAATAAGAAGGGAAGATTTTAGACGATTGAGTACCTTTTTTATTATTTACTATTTAATTTTTATTAGTTCTTGCTGGTCGAGGATATTCATCGTGTCTTAGAAAGTCTCTATTTATTTTTTGTTATTGACAACTGCGCTGCCCTGTGCATTGAACAGCCACAATAATGTAATCATGAGTGGATGGTTTCCTATTTTCTACAAAAGTTTAATGAAGGTATAGTAGAGTAGGGGAATGGATACAGAGTGAGATCCTAAAACTTGTGAGTTGCAGAAAAATAATGGTAAATCCATCAAAATGGAAGGTAGAAGGAGTAGTGGCTCACAAAAGAGAACAAAGAAACCCTAGAATGTGACATACAGCTGCTGCGGTATGTTCACAGAACAAATCACTTAATTGGATAAATTAGTATCACACTTACATGTCTAGTGCTTTCAGAGCATCAACCATGGCTACGTCACATTCTTCTTGAACGGTGCCTAAAACTCGTACCTTGTACGATTATGCAATTCCAGAAAAAAGTCCATACTCCATTGGGTTTCCACTTGGAATCTTAGCAGTCTAATTGGTCTCAAATCATTTATATTTTTTCTTATGGAACTCAGCAGTGTTTGAATTGTAATTCACCAATAATTTTTACTTTGGTTTTAAATAAGGGTTATTACTATCAATTCTAATGTTTCTTAAAAATAGCTTTATTTTTTTTGTCAACTATGTCAGAGAGAATTTCAAGGGGCGAGATTTTAGGAACACGTATATGAGAATTGTGAGAAAGAGAGACCATTAGAGAAATTTTAATAATATTGTTATTGGATTTAGATATAAAATCTAAGATATTTTTTAAGGAGAAAGAGTTTATGAGAGATTGAGTTAGATGGAGATTTTAGGAAAATTGTCGGGAAAAAGTTCTCATGGAAAGAAATTCAAATTCTTCCTTAAACGAATTTTAACAGGTTAATAAGAACAAAGATGTTAAACTTTAAGGGTTTCAGTAATTACTGTGAAACTAATTATGCAAAGGAAGTTAGCTTTCACATCTTCCGACTGTACTTGGGTGCTTTCGTTTTTTGTTCCCTTTGTTGATCAGTAAGGGACGGTTTGTTTGATAACAAAATTTTGACAATAGTATTTTTTTCTTTTCGATTTACATTTGACCAAATGGCAATTTGGTCAATTGGCATTTGCTCTTTATGGGTGTTTGATTGTTGCAATTTTTATAAATTATCATATTGTAGTGTGATGGTGGTGGTTGTTTCGGTGAAGCTAGTGGAGTGGTGGTGATGTTGGTGCTGTGGAGGCGAGTAGGTGGTGGTGTGTATGCAGTGGTGGTAGTCGCAGCTATGCAGTTGTGGTGGTGCTAAGTGGTGATGGTGGTGGAGTGGGTGGCTAGGTGGCGGAGTTGGTGGTGGAATAGTGGTGGCTAGGTGGTGGGGCGCGCACGAGAGAGAGAGAGAGAGAGAGAGAGAGAGAGAGAGAGAGAGAGAGAGAGAGTAGTTACGTTACTAACGTACGTTAGGTTAGTTAGTAGTAAGTAGTACGTAGTAGTACGTACGTACGTGTCGTAGTAGTACGTACTATACTATATAGTACTAACTAACTA